CCCAGTATCACTCCCAGTCCCTCCCAGTATCACTCCCAGTCCCTCCCAGTGACCCTCCAGTTCCCTCCCAATGTCTCCCAGAGCTCCCAGACCCCGCCCATATCTGACGTAATTATGGGGTGGGCGGGGCCAGGGGAACTGGAGGGTCCCGGGGAGGATTTTGGGTGGATTTTGGAGTATTTTGGGAGTCCCGGGATGGGTTTTGGGGGTTCCGGGGATGATTTTGGGGCAGTTTTGAGGGATTTTGGGTGTCCTGGGGTGGATTTCGGGGCGGTTTTGGTGGATTTTGGGGATCCCGGTGTGAATTTTGGGCTCCCGAGATAAATTTTGGGGTGGTCTTGGGGGATTTTGCGGGTGCCGGGTGGATTTTGGGCTCCCGGATTGGATTTTGGGCTTCTGGGCTGGATTTTGGGGGGCCTGGGGAGGATTTTGGGGCACTTTTGGAGGATTTTGGGGCGGTTTTGGGGGATTTTGAGGGGCTCGGAGTGGATTTTGGGGGTCTCAAAGTGGATTTTGAGGCAGTTTTGGGGGATTTTGGGGGTCCCGGGGTGGATTTTTGGCATCCCCGGGTAGATGTTGGGGCAGTTTTGGGAGATTTTGGGGCTCCAGGGGTGGATTTTCAGGGTCCCAGAGTGGATTTTGGGGTGGTTTTGGGGGTCCTGGAGTGGATTTTGGGGGTCTCAAGGAGGATTCTGGGGCAGTTTTGGGAGATTTTGGGGCTCCAGGGGTGGAGTTTTGGGCGGTTTTGGGGGAATTTTGTGAGTGCTGGGGTGGATTTGGGGGTGGTTTTGTGGGATTTTGGGGGTCCCGGGGTGGATTTTGGGCATCTCGAGGGAGATTTTGGTGATCTCAGGGTGGATTTTTGGGTGGTTTTGGGGGATTTGGGGGGTTAGAGGTGGATTTTGGGTGTCCCAGAGTCGATTTTTGGGGTCCTGGGGTGGATTTTGTGGTGGTTTTGGGGGATTTTGTGGCGGTTTTGGGGGATTTTGGGGATCCCGGGGTGGATTTTGTGCTCCCAAGACTGATTTTGGGATGGTCTTGGGGGATTTTGTGGGTGCCGGGTGGATTTTGGGGGGCCCGGGGAAGATTTTGGAGCACTTTTGGAGGATTTCGGGGCGGTTTTGGGGGATTTTGGGGGGCCCGGAGGGGATTTTGTGGGGCCCGGAGTGGATTTTGGGGGTCTTGAAGAGGATTTTGGGGCGGTTTTGGGGGATTTGGGGGTGGTTTTTCAAGATTTTTGGGCAGTTTTGGGGGATTTTTGTGGTCCCGGGGTGGATTTTCGGGATCCTGAGGTGGATTTTGGGGGATTTTGGGGTTCCCGGGGTTGATTTTGGGGTGGTTTTGTGGGATTTCTGGGTGGTTTGGGGGGATTTTGTGGCTGCGGGGTGGATTTTAGGGGGTCCCAAGGTGGATTTTGGAGGTACCGGGGTGGATTTTGGGGCAGTTTTGGGGGTTTGGGGGCGTCCCAGGGTGGATTTTGGGGGTCCCAGGGTTGATTTTGGGGCGGTTTGGGGGGATTTTGGGGGTCCTGGGGTGGATTTTGGGGTGGTTTTGTGGGATTTTTGGGTGGTTTTGGGGGATTTTCTGGCTCCTGGTGTGGATTTTAGGAGGTCCCAAGGTGGATTTTGGGGCAGTTTTGTGGGATTTTGGGGTCCAGGGGTGGATTTTGGGGCGGTTTTGCGGGATT